GTTCGCCGGCTGGTGCACACCCAGGCAGCCAGCCACGCTCTCGCTGCTGAGAGAGGCTCCGAGGAGGAGACCAGTCTGTGCAGCTGCAATCCGGGAAGGCTCCCTGGAGGCGGCCTCGGCCAGCTCTCCAGACTGCAGATCCGACGGGCAGAGGCGGGGAGACCTGGCTGCAGGGGTCGGGGAAGCTGGACGGGGTGGACACTGGCTTGCCTGGCTGCTTCCAGTGACCCCTCTCACGGTGCGAGCCCACGCCGAGCCCATCTCCCAGGCCCGAGAGAGACCGTTAAACCCACCAGGACACGCACTACGGGTCGTGAACAACGAGCCCTCGGCCCAGGTCTCACAGTGAGAGCGAGTGTGGGGGGTGGCGGCCGAGGTGAGGCTCTGCCTGGCCGTTCAAGTCCGTCTCCTGGCCCCGGGGCTGTGACGGGTTCTGGGTGAGCTTCGCGGGAGCTCACCCTTCACTTCAGGTCGGTGCCCTTTTCTGCAGGCGTGTCAGACTCTGATTAAAGGTGTCCTTTTACACCCGCCCGCGTGCTCAGGGGTTGAGCGTCAACCTAGGAACCAGGAGGTCACGGCTCGATTCCCGGTCAGGGCACAGGCCCGGGTTGCGGGCTCGACCCCCAGTGGGGGGCCTGCAGGAGGCAGCCGGTCCGTGGTTCCCTCTCATCATGGATGTTTCTCTCTCTCTCTTTCCCGGACCCCAGCTGCCAGCCGAGCGGAGAGAAGGCTTTTCCGTGGGCGACGGCAGCCACTCGGCACACGTGTGTGGGTGTGTTTCCTGCAGGAAACGTCCCGTCTAATGCGGGACAGGCTGTCTGTGTTTCTAAAATAACCGTTGCCCGGAACACAGGCTGTGGGAGTGGGGGGTGTTTCCTTCCCACACGGTGTCCTCGGCAGCAGCGAGGACCAGCTGGAGGAGGCTCCTGGCCCCCTGGGCGGTGGAGACACTGCCCCCCCTTCCCATCGGCCGGCGCTCAGCTCGGGAGCAGGAAATGCGGTCAAATGAGTGACAGGTGGAAAAAGAGCAACAAAGAAAAGGGTTTCCTCGCAGGGTCCAGTGGGGACCCCAGCCCAGGACGCTGAGGACACTCCATGTTCCTGGAGGACACCCCACATTCACGGAGGACACCCCATATTCACAGAGGACACCCAATATTCACAGAGGACACCCCATGTTCACAGAGGATACCCTGCATTCATGGAGGACACCTCACATTCCTAGAGAACACCCCATATTCATGGAGGACACCCCACATTCCTAGAGGACATCCTATATTCACGGAGGACACCCCACTTCACAGAGAGGACACCCCATATTCACGGAGGACACCCCACATTCACGGAGGACACCCCATATTCACGGAGGACACCCCACATTCATGGAGGACACCCCACATTCCTAGAGAACACCCCATATTCATGGAGGACACCCCACATTCCTAGAGGACATCCTCTATTCACGGAGGACACCCCACATTCATGGAGGACACCCCATATTCACGGAGGACACCCCACATTCACGGAGGACACCCCATATTCACGGAGGACACCCCACATTCACGGAGGACACCCCATGTTCACCGTGGCTCTCTCTGCCACTTGTCCGTCACGGAGGCCACAGCGCAGGGAGCCAGCGTGGGGACTCACTCCCATCCAGGTCCTGAGACGGTGCCGTCTGAGGCTAAGCCAGAGCCAGGCGGCGACTCGTCCTGTGAGCGTGACAGGAAACGCGGCCTCTGGGCCTTTAAACGTGAAGAGGGGAGGATACAACAACTGGTTCAAAGCAAATGATGAGCCCTGGCCGGTGCGGCTCAGTGGTTGAGTGCCGGCCTGTGGACGGATGGGTCCCAGGTTCGATTCTGGTCAAGGGCATGTGTGACGGTTGCAGGCTCCTCCCCGGCCTGAGCCCTGGTCGCAGGAGGCAGCCAATCAGTGTGTTTCTCTCACATGGCTGTCTCCCTGTCCTTCCCTCTCTTTTCCACTTTTCCCCAGAAAAGATCGATGGAAAAATATCCTCGGGTGAGGATTAAAAACAAACAAAACACGCACGACACAGACACCGAGGACGTACATAGCGTTCGGCGCCAATGGCCGCTTTCCCGTCATAACGAGGCAGGAACCGCGGCCGCGGGGACACGGCGCACGGGTGCCCCAGGGAAAGCTCCCCGCGCCTGGGCTCCGAGCAGCTCGGGGTGTGGGCACCTTCACTCCGTGTCAGCAGCGGCTACAGAGACACCGAGGGGCCCAGTAACTCCCGAGGTCACCTCTCCGCACCCTGGTCCCCGGTGGCTGGTCCCCACTACACCCGCGTTCGCCACTCACAGGCGGGGACAGGGACCCCGCAGGGGACAGGAGCAGCAATTCCCTAACTCTCTGCCTGGAGGCAGCCTCAGGACCTCTGGACGCCGTGCTGTCCCGGGAGCTGCCGGAGCCAGCCAGACCCGCACCGAGAGGAACCCCGGCCTCTGGGATCGGGAGCAAAGCCTCTTGGACTCGGCGGCCCTGGGTGACGGGCAGACTCCATCCCTTACTGTGCGCGTCTGGCCGCTGGTAAGGGGCCCGTCTCTCCCTCAGTTTCCTCATCTGGAGAATGGGAATAATAAGACCAGCCCCGAGGAGCGAGGAGCGTGCAGATGAAACAAGATCACACGGAGAAGTTCGGCAGATCCCTGCCTCCAGGAGGCGTCACCAATGGTGCTCGCTGTGCGGTCACGAGAGGCCCGGTGCACAGACTCGTGCACTTGGGGGGGGGTCCCTCAGCCCGGCCTGCGCCCTCTCGCAGTCCGGGAGCCCCCAGGGGATGTCTGCCCGCCAGCTGGCTGCTCCTAAGCACCGCCACTGCCACAGAGGCCGTAGAAGCTCCCGCCACCACCACTGGACTCGCCAGCCGTGAGCCCGGCTTCTGGCTGAGCAGTGCTGCCCTGTGGGAGCTCACTGACCAGCAGGGGGCAGCTCCTGCCTTCAGCATCTGCCCCTGGTGGTCAGGGCGCGTCATAGCGACCGGCTGTCCCGCTGTGGGGTCGATTTGCACATTATCCTTTTATTATATAGCGTGTTCTTTTTCGCTTAAATGATGGTCTGACGTAGGCGCGTTTCAGGCGTGAGGTGGGGGTGGCGTGGGACGGTCATTCTCCCGAGAGGAGTGCCTTCTCCTTCACTGGCACAGAGAACGTCCTCAGGAGCCCGAGATCGCGTCAATATTCCCTCACCGGCATGTCATTCTCTTTCTCAGGGCTTCGCTGGGGCGAAGGCCTCCCACAACCCCGGCCCCGCACTCTGCCATCACCGGGGCGCCCCCCCCAACACTGTGAGCAAACAGAAGGCGCCTGGAGCGCCGTCGCCGCCGCGCCCTCCCCGTCACCTGCTGAAGAAGGTCATCATGTCCTCGTGGGTGGGCAGCACCAGCAGCTGCGGGTTCACTTGCAGGTACACCCACAAGAGCAGCGTCTTCAGAAGGTGGAACTCGCTGAAAACGAACAATCTGGGCAAAATAAAAGACGGAGGGGACATGTCAGGAACGGCAGAAACCACGCCCACGGTCAGGCACCGAGAGGGAGCAGCGCGTCCGGGAACGCGGCCAAGGCGCTGGCCTGCAGGCAGCCGGGGGAAGGGGCGTCTTTGGGAACCATCCCTGAGCC